GTGTTGAGTTCTGATTTATATATATAATATATAATTAAAATGTTTTGTTCTGTGTAACCATAGCTTTTTTATTGCTCTTAGTAGCAGCGTTAAAATCTACCATTTGTTGTCTCATATGTTTCGAACGGAGTCTGTGAAATACAATGAGAATTATACTAGGGCTGCGAAGCGGCCTGAAGTTACAATTCAAATTATATGAACAGATGAACTGAGAAATATATGAGCTTCCCACCCTTCTTCCCTCCCTTCTATGGGGTCTCTCTTTTGCCTGTCTATTCCATGGCGTCAAAAAACCACCAAAGCATCATGGGACCACGAGATCTAGGTCCCAGGGTCTTGTGGGTATACCCAGGTCCCTAGTATTGATTTCTTCAGGGGGGTTTGCCCTTCTGTTGGGGTTAAAAAGTGGTTTGAAGCACTAAATGAGAAATTCCTACCATTTGTTGTCTCATATATTTCTCACTTCATCTGTTCATATAATTTGAATTATGAGTTCAGGCCGCTTCGCGGCCCTAGTATAATTCTCATTACCATGAAGAAATATTCTCAGTCATAAATTAAAATGAAATTTTCTGTGAAAGGCAACGATGTGAGAAAGGTCCTGAACTGAAGTGAATCTTTTTGGCGATACAGTGGTCATGAAGATTTTGTGATCCTACGGCTCGAGACAGTGACTTATGGAAAACATTCACTGTCGTATTTGGGCCCAAAACTATGGGCCAGACTTCCCAATCATATTAAATCATTCAGTTCAAAGAATTGTAAAAGTTACATTAGGAAAAGGGATTTAAACATTTTAATTGATGCGAGCAGTGGATGCAAAAGTCATATGTGTTCATCTTGAATATTTTCATCATTCTTAGTCATCTATATTTGTAACTTTATTCTCTTTTGTACTTTAATTTTGGTAGATAGACTTTTATCTTGTAAACAATTATAATGTTTAAAAATTTAATTTGCACATATTCGTGATGATTGTAACTCTTTTTAGGTGTCCCCANCCCTGAGCATCCCATAATTGCTATTTGAAACAATAGAATTCAAAATGGTCGCCTTATTGCCGGCGACCGAACTGGAACTGATTTCCAAGTTCTGTCAGCAGGAGTCAACGTAACCTTTCTTAACGTTTGATAAAGAAGACCAGTGGGAACTACGACAGGGATTTTTTTATGGCTAAGCGGGACGAACATATTGTATACTTCTAGGATTAAATTTGGTTGATGTGTGAGAATATTTGAAAAAATAAGAAAAGAAATGTGGTCTGGGCACTCTTCAATGTGTTACATAGAGTGCTATTGCTTTCAAATTATTTCAGTTTACAGGGGAAGTCAAAGACTCTAGTTTCGTTAGTGCAAAAGTGAATAAACTGAGGTAAGAGTTATTTGTTTTTATTGTCAACACCAATCTTGTATTTACTCAAGTAATTAAGGAACCAACAATGTTACATTGAGCATATACCCACTTAGTTCAACGGGTGTTTACAGTACAACTTTTTCCTATACATGAAGATCGTTTTCGAGTAAAAATAGAACTGTAACCAGGATAAGACATATTGGAATAAGAACGTTCTCTGGTTAAAAATA